AGTTAGTATGTGATTGAGGACAAGGCAAGTACAAAACAACAATGAACAACAAACGTTTCACATGTTTTTTGTGGCGTTTCCATTTATTATTTCCATATTTTCAGATGTAACATCAACATGAAGTCAAGAATCACCTTGTCCTTGGTCTTGAAATATGTTTCTGGTCTTCTTGTGCATTACTTTGCAATGCATGTTTCTCCAATCAATCAAATTAAAAATAATAAAATATAATAATATAATCATCCATCCCAAGTGATTCCCTGTTTTCACAACAAAAATATGGGATAAGCTCAGCTAAGTTAAATAAGATAAGCTAAGTTAAATAAACAATATATATATATATATATACACATACATACACGTGTGTGTATATATATATAAAAAAAACTCCTCCTCCTATTACTAATATATAAAATAAAAAATAAAATAAAATAAGATTAAATTAAATTAAAATGATCCCTGACCTACAGTACATAGGACAAACGGTTTGGAGAATGGATGGATGGAAAATAAAAGCAACTTGGGTTGAGAATGCCTTTTGATGTTGGTTTTAATGCTGAACCCCCTTAACTCACAGGTAGCTTTTCTTGGTCCCCAACCAGTTGTCACACAAGACGAGGTGAACCGTTCTTCATGAACCATTTCATCATCTTTATCCGTTATGCACACCGGAAATATCATCGGCCCTGGATGAAGCACATGTTAAACTGTACAACTCTAAATGCTGATAAGGATCTCGTGAGAAACAGAGATAAGGTCATGTGATTCTATACCGATTCGAGCTGGGACGGATAAGCGGATCATGGAGAGATCGGAGACCGGTGGGAAGCTGCCGGCGTACGCCAAACTCTCCACGCTTTCCACAGCTGCAGTCTGACCCGACATGAAGTTCAGATCATGAGCTCCCAAGACCACAACATCTCCAGCCCTGTGGGATGAACTGTCAGAACATCACTGAGGAACAATAGATGATCAGACTCCTCTGGCTTACTTGGCGAGGCAGTGGCGCGGTGCCAGAACCCAGCGCGGATGAATGAGGACGCCGCTACAGTAATGCGTATCGTGGCTCTGGAGGCTGACGTGCCACGGCCAGGAGTTAGGACAGGCCTCGCTCACGTTCTCCACCTTGAATGTGCCGTTCTCAGAGGACACCACCTGCGCCAAGCCAGCGGGCAGTTGGCAGGGATCCATCTTGGCCTGACCACACTGCGCTGAAGCCACAACATAGAAATGGACATGAATGACGACTAAAGCGATCGGAAAAGTACATGATGAGAGTCTTACCAGTTGAATCAGTTCCAGGGCTTTCAGAAACGAGTTCATCTATATGATACAAGCAAAAAATGTAGCAGTTTTAGAGCAGCCACTGATACATCACTGAAATCTGAAAGTTCATACCATGTATTGAAGACTCGATCCATTGTTTGTAGTGGTTTAGTGTGGTGTAGACCCCTGGTTTTTGGGCCCGACCACATCCGACCCCCCAGCTGACCACTCCAGCAAGCTTGTACCTATCATCT